TGGGAGGAAGAGGAGGAAGAAGAGGAGAAGGACTCTGGGGTCCTTGAGGGTCTCTGAGCTCAATTGCTTTCTTGCAGATGTTTCATGACCCTACTAGGTAACATCATCAGTGCTAGAAGGGAGTGGGATTTGTGAAGAGGAGGAGGAGGAGGACTGTGAGGCCCTTAGTGCTCTCTGAGCTTAATTGCTTTCTTGCAGACATTTCGTGACCCTATTAGATAACATCTTCAGTGCTAGAAGGGAGTGGGGTTTGCAGAGTAGAGGAGGAGGAGAACTGTGGGGTCCTACTGCTTTCTTGCAGACGTTTCATGACCCAAGTAGGTCATATCATCAGTGCACGGAGGCTGTTATCTAGTTGAGTAATGAAAAGTTGGTAAGGAAGCCATCAAGCTCGGAGAGCATCAAGGAGCCCCCAGTCCTCCTGCTCCTCCTCTTCCTCCTCCCCTTCCTCCTCCTCCTCCTCCTCCCCAGCAGAATGTCCTTCCAAGAGGCTAGGAGAAGTTCTACCGGGAGGGCAGAGTTGGTGTTGTGGTGCATGCATAACCAGGAGGAGGAAGTCCTGGCCAAGCATGCACCTTCTCTTTGCAACCTAGAGGTTCAGAAGGGTGGATCCAAGGAAGAAGTTGCCACTCAGAAACCTCTACATTTGTACGACACTCCCTACGAAGCCTCCGAGAATGAATCAGGCCCAGAGAACCCGCCTTCTTCTCAGCCTGCCGTCTCCTGCCGCTACTCGTGGTTGCCAGAAGATGATGAGCGGCCTCCAGAGGAGTATGACCAGCCGTGGGAGTGGAAGAAGGAGCGGATCTCCAGAGTCTTTGCTGGTAAGATAAGATGCTCCACCGTTATGTGGGTACCATAGAGACCAGTAGAAGTACAGGTGCCAAATTCTCCTCCTCCCTCTCCCCTCCCTCTCCCCTCCCTCTGCCTCTCCCCTTCTTCTCCCTCCTCTTCCTCCTCCTCCTCCTCTTCCTCCTCCCCTCCCTTTCCCTCTGCCTCTCCCCTTCTTCTTCCTCCTCTTCCTCCTCCTTCTCTTC